TCGGCACCACTCCTCCAATAGCATTTGCTCATTTTGTGTCTCTGTGTCACGTTTTGGTAATTTTCATGATTATTAAAACTTTTCATTATTATTACATTTGTTATCGTGATCTGTGGTCAGTGATCTTTGATGTTACTATTGTAATTGTTTAGAGCACCACGAACAGCATCCACATGGGACAGCAGACTTAATCAGCACAAGTTGATTGTGCTGTTGATTGTTCCACCGACCAGACATTCATGGTCTCTCTCCCTCCTTGGGTCTTCCTATTCCATGAGGCACAACAATATTGGAATTAGGCCAGTTAGTAACCCTACTGTGGTCCTCTTTATGTTCAAGAGAAAGGGAGAGTCACCCACTGTAAACCAAAAGCTAGAAAGAAGTAAGCTTAAGTGACGAAGGCATGTGAGAAGCCAGGATAGGTTGAAAGCTAGGCTTCTTGCACCACACGGTGAGCCAAGCTGTAAATGCAGAGGAAAAGTTCTTGAAGGGAATTCAGAGTGCTACTCCAGTGAATACATGAATGATAAGAAAGTGAAACAGCCTTATTGCTGATATGGAGAAAGTTTTAGGGGTCTTGATAGAAAATCAAACCAGCCACAACATTTTCTTAAGCCAAAGCTTAATCTAGAGAAAGGCCCTAACACTTGACTTTTGCAAAAACTGACAGAGGTGAGGAAGCTACAAAAGAACATTTGAAGCTAGATTGGTTCTTGAGCTTCAAGGAAGAAAGACGTCTCCATAACATACAAGTGCAAGGTGAAGCAGCACGTGCTGATGTAGACGCTGCGGCAAGTTGTCGGGAAGATCTGACTGAGATCACTAATGAAGGTGGTTACACGAAATAACAGATTTTCGATGTAGACAGAACAACCTTGTATTGGAAGAAGATGCCATCTAGGGCTTTCATAGCTAGAGGCAAGGAGTCAATGCTTGGCTTCAAAGGACAGGCTCACTATCTTTTTAGAGGCCAATGCGGCTGGTGACTAAATTGAAACCCTGTGCTCATTGACCATTCCAAAAATCCTAAGGCCCTTAAGAATTATGCTAAATCTACTCTGCCTGTGCTCCATAAATGAAACAACAAAGCCTAGATGACCGTCCATCTGTTTACAACATGGTTTACAGAATTTTTTAAGCCCACTGTTGACACCCGCTGGACAGAAAAAATAGATTCTTTTCACAATATTGCTGCTCGCTCACAGTGTACCTGGTCAGCCAAGAGCTCTGATGGACATGTACAATGAGATTAATGTTGTTTTTGTCCCTAACACAACATTTATTCTGCAGCCCATGGATCATGGAGTAATTTTAGCTTTCAACTCTTATTAAAAACTACATTTGCAATGTTGTACCTGCCATAATGATTCCTCTGATGAATCCGGGAAAAATAAACTGAAAAACTTCTAGAAAGGATTCACTGTTCTAGTTGCTATTAACAGCATTTGTGATTCATGGGAAGAGGCCAAAATATCAACATTCGCAAGAGTTTGGAGGAAGTTGGTTACAACCCTCCTGGTTGACTTTGAGGGATTCAAGACTTGAGTGGAGGAAGTAATTGCATATGTGGTAGAAATAGCAAGAGAACTAGAATTAGAAGTGAAGGTTAGCAATTTTTTAGCAATAAAGTATTTTTAAATTAAGGTATGTATGTTGTTTTTTTAGGCGTAACGCTTTTGTACACTTAAGACTGCAGTTCTAACGTAGACATAACTTTTATATGCACTGGGAAGCCAAACAATTCACTTAGCGTGCTTTCTTGCAACATTCACTTTATTGCCATGGTCTGGAGCTGAACCCACAAGATGTCTGATGTATGCATGTGGTCCTTTCGATTTCTAGCTTCTCCAAACACTTCTCATTCAGCGTTTGCCTTGGTTTCTCAGAGCTTTTGTTGTCGCTCTTGGCTATCTCCTGTGTTCCCGTCACCTCACTACAGCTATACATTTATGGATTCTCACCTTAGAACCCATGCATTTCAATTTTCCCCTTTCTGAAAACAAGGAAATAAATTCCATATGATGATTTCAGGATCAAGTCTTCAGGTGTTTTTTCTTTCCAAAAAGGAGGAGCAAAAGTATGCCACAGATGTTTTGAAACCATATTTAGGCAATATTGCTAGCTTTCCATATATGTACGTGCAGCCTGAAGCAACAATCATGGATGGCTTTACCTGCCTCATTATCCCAGTAGAAGAGGTAAGTATGGCTGTAAGGATATAATATTATGTCAATACTGTAAACAGGTGAATGGTAAAGTAAGGATTTTGTCCTCTTTATACTGATGAGGCATTGCCTGGAGACATGTTGGCTACATTTTTACCTGCTACATATGAAGAAGGAACCAACATGTGTCTCTGTGATGGTGATGCTTATAAATTCATGCATAATGTGTCCAAGGTCCCAAAGTTGATGTGTGCGGTTCAAAGATTTGGTTTATCTTTATGATCTTTGTGATCATTTTCTGTATTTTGGTTTAAGCTCATGTAAAAGCTCTGTAGTTCTCACATATTTGAATATACCTAGCGACTCCTAATATTTGGTCCTTCATAGCTTTCCTAGTATATGCAACAGAATTATAAGAGGAACACTGTTTATTTGTTGTTATAAAACAGGGTTTAAGGAGTAAATATTTTTCTTAGTGGCGGATTAAGCAGATACCTACAAAAGATGGACTCCTGTTCATAATCCAAAGAAGTCGAAGTCATTTGCAAAGCTTAGTAACACTTGAAGTCTCAAAAGCCATCTCTACAAATAAGCTCCATATTGACTACCTCCGTATTGCTGTAATTTGCTAAAGTAGTCTTTTGTTTACGGTATGAAATGTCTCTACGGTGATGACTTACACCTCAGTCTTTGGTTTGTAAACCTATGTAGAAACCTTATATCTGACTAGATAGGTAGGAGGAGAAAAATTTGTGGTGGAAATAGCCTCTACTTCCACAATTAGAATTCTGGATGTATCTAATACAGTTCTAAGAAGAGAGAAATTAAGACTATATTTGAAGCCAGTGTTTCATAACATGTACTTCGTGACGTATTTTATAATGTTAATGACAAACCAGTTGGGATATTTTGTGAAAGCAGCCTCAACAAAGAATTTCTATATGGGTCTAACATACTAATAAGAAACATCTTATATTGTTCTAAAAAGAAATTAAATGATAATGCTGAGAACCAATTAAAACACTGTTCTAGTTATAATAATAGATAATGCTAATAGCTTTTTTAAAAGTAGCTCAGTGTTTGTGGTTTTTTTTTGTTGTTGTTGTTGTTTCTTACTGTCTGAGAAGATTAAAAAAGTTACTTCTCAGTTTCAACACATAGAGTGAAATCTTGGCACTGAGAATTTCATGCAGTAGATATTTTGTTTGTATGGTTTATTTTTATGCTTTCTAATTCTTAACTTTTTTGTGGGTAACTAACCATCTTAGCTTAGAAACAAATTTAAAAAAACGAATAAAACATTAACCCATTTCCCTCTTAAGATGATCTGGTACCATTGTTGACTTACTAGCTTTCTTTTTTCATTGCTGTTGGATGGAAATCCCTTGCACTACTGCTTATTGTATGTTTTGAATGGAGCTCTAATTTCTTTTCTGTAAAGAAAGGTTTTAAAAAGCATGTTTTGTTCCTTTAAGTGTATGCTCAAATTTTAGGGGGAATGGCAAACAAAAATCTTTTGTTAAACAAAGAATGAAATGAAACAATTTAAGATAATTTCAGACATTGTTGTTTCGATACCATAATGAAGCTGAAAAGCAGTTTTTCGTCTTCATATAATATTATAACAGTGCCCATGTTATCCTGGTCAAATTAGATGAAATCAAAATAATCTGTCACCGTCTAATTCTCTCTCATAAGGCTAGCCTGACATATAGTAATAGAATCCTTAGGCCATTTTAGGCCTTGGAAGTGGGTATTCAGTGACCACTTGTTGAATTTATGAGTGAATAAGTCTAAGAGTAAATTATATTCATGCCCAGTAATAAAATGTTAAGTCCATTAGTCTGGGTAGAATCTTGGATTTTTTATTATTTAAAATTTGCTCATTAAAACTGAAAAGAATGAAAATGAACTTGTACAAAGTTATCTTTATCATACATTTTTAAAAATTCATAAACAATTTAATATTTCCAGAATAAGTTTTTCCTAAAATTATTATTTCCTAAAATGTATGCTATAGTAGTTATGTACATTATTTTGAGAAAAACATGTTGTCGTAACTAAGAGTTAAGATATAACCCAACTGTTAAAAAATATTTATATTTAATAATTTAACAATTGTGCCCTTTTTCTCTGCTGGTAATGAGAATGGTATGGGAGCTCTTGCACCAAATATGAAGTTGAAATGTGGTGATTTTTCCTGACTTTGTTGCTAGGTATTTTCACTCCTCCACATTATGACCATGTCGAGTAAAGGTTGGAATCATGAAATTGTAGAATCGTGGGGCTGGAAAGGATATTTAAACTAATTTATTCAAAATCTCTTTGCTTTATAGCTGAGGAAGATGAGACCCATAAATATAGGATGGGTCAAGCCAACAAAATGAATAGTTTTTTTTTTTTTTAAATTAAAAGAATTGTCATTTTAGATGAATAAGCTATTGTATTTACTCAGTTTTAAGTAGGTAACGCATTGCATACTATGCTTGTCTTTTAGAGATTTTATGTAAAATTGCCATTCATTTTTGGGTTCTTGTGGCCTCTTTTGTGCTCCATAAAGCACTTGTTTCACTGGATTTTAACAACTGTGTCTGTCTCTCCCAATAGGATGAAAATGTCTTTCTAGCAGAGGCTTTGTCTTACACCGTTGTGTACTTTTGTACTCTCAACTCTAATCACAGTGACTGTCACAGAGCACTCCTTCAACTACTTGGGGAATGAGTAGTATCTCATAGCAATAAGAGAAAAATTAATAAGCACTCCAGGAATAAATCTTGCACCTACTAAATGTATGATTAACAAAGATCAATATGTGTTCCATTTTTCTCCCCACAGTCTCCAAACGTCCACAACTACCCCGATATGGAAGCTGTTCCCCTGTTGCTAAATAATGTGAAAGGGGAGCCGCCGGAGGACTCGTTATCTGTAGATCACTTCCAAACACAAACTGAGCCAGTGGACTTGTCGATCAACAAAGCCAGGACATCCCCCACAGCCGTTTCATCCTCCCCAGTTTCCATGACAGCATCTGCCTCCTCGCCTTCTTCAACTTCAACCTCTTCATCGTCTTCTAGTCGTCCAGCCTCATCCCCAACTGTTATAACATCCGTATCTTCAGCATCATCTTCGTCAACAGTATTAACTCCAGGGCCCCTTGTCGCCTCCGCGTCTGGTGTGGGAGGCCAGCAGTTTTTGCACATTATCCATCCTGTACCGCCTTCGAGTCCCATGAATTTACAGTCTAACAAACTGAGTCACGTTCACCGCATCCCTGTGGTGGTACAGTCGGTGCCTGTTGTCTACACAGCTGTGCGGTCACCTGGAAATGTGAACAACACTATTGTAGTGCCGCTTTTGGAAGATGGGAGAAGCCATGGCAAAGGTAAGGGACACAAGCGAAGCCTTGATTTATTTCAGCGCTAGAGGTAACTATTCTTTTATTTAGTGAGCAGATCCTAAATCGTATACAACTACACCATATCCAGAGAAGTTCTGTGCCCAACACCACAGAGACCCAGCTGATCAGCCATTCAGTAGAGCAGTTTAAAAGAACTAACTGCATGTTTGCATAAGTTTTTGCTTCAGTATTATTGAGTCTGTATTTTTATGTAGCCGGTCGTTTAACGTTAGAATTCAAATATCTTAATTTGCAAAATAATGTTTACCTTCAAGTGCTCAGATGGAGAGGACAGTCTGTACTTAGCGTAAGTGCTTGTAAGTTGAGTTGCCATTAAAAGAATTCTGAAGTTAGGCGTTTGACTCCAAAAGCTCCATGTAGCTTGAGTTCTTACCTTAGTGTAAGTTATTGTCATTTCAAGTAACAGGATGATTCGGTATGATGGAATATTTCAAAATGCAGTATTAAAATTCCCTTCTAGGATTTAGAAGGCAGGACGATGCTTTGTGTCTATTTAATACTCTAATAATACCGACTTACCTAATTCTATATGGCTGTTAGGCAGTTGATCATTAAATCACTTTCCTATTGCTGAGCTTTTATTTTTTCCAATTTTTACTAGAAGGAATTATAGTAACATCATGCTGCTGAGTTTATCTTCCTTTGTCATGAATCTGAAAACTAAGTCACCCTTCTGTAGAAATGTAAAATACTGATCACCATTGACTCATTCCCTCTTAAACTAAGTATCTATGTATGTATTTTGTCTATAGGACCAAGAAACGATGATGAGTTAAGACTTAATGTTGTATTACTTTTTGCTTTGATACCATATTACTACTAAATATACGTTGATACCATATTTCAGCGCATAATTAAAAAATGACCGATGACTACATAAACACCGCCTTCTCATAAAATGCTAGTAAACATGGATTGTTATAGTTCTTATAGAAGGTAGGATTCAGTGCATAGAAACAGCAGTTGATTGCGAAGTTAGAGAAGTTTTTACAAACATTCACTACAAAACTGTGCATTCATCTTTGGCAAGTTATTGTTTTATCTGCATCGAGTTTCTTCATAGCCACAAAATCAACTTTCCCTTCTCAGTATTACCAAGTGAGAAAATCACATGATTCATAGCACTCAGAGATTTTAGATTGCAAACTTGAGATGCAGACATTCTGATCTTATCTGGCAACCTCTGTCTTTTGTGCTGTTATGGGGAAAGGCCAGGAACTAGTCCCACCACTATCATAGTGAATAGGTAGATGAGGGAGTCTTTTCTTGGATTTTACTTTAGTTTGACCCCCCTCTGGTGTTACTAATACTTCTGATCTAAAGGAGCTAACCAATTTGAATAATAACATAACTGAAGGCCACATTAGGTATTTATTTTCTTTTGTGGTTTAAAGATGTGTTTATAAATTATTTAAAAATCAGGAATTTTTAAATAGAACCTTGCACATTGTATTACTTTATATTACTTTATATGTGTTTATGTGTATACCATAGAATCCAATCCTTGTGCCATACCCATTAAGGGAAATATTTCTTTAATTATGAAGTTGATTGATGAGGATTTTAATTTTGTTCATGACTTTTTTTTTTAATAATTTTCATGTACTAATGAAGGAAACAAAAGAGAGATCTCTTTTATTTGATATTATCCTTTTATGGGAGAGGTTATTTTTATTTTTATTTAGGGTGATTAGTATAGAAAGTATATTGCCAAAATTATTTTCTGGAAACTGTGTCTCTGCAGAAGAATTTGGTTAAGACTCATGGTATAATTTGCTCTCAAGTGTATTTGTTAGTTTCATGCAGTGTTTTTTACTCAGTAGTTTTCTCATGTCAAGGAGAAAAATTGATACAATCATAAATCCCCTGGACTGTGATATGGACATTAGGAGCATGAGATTCCAGATCAGGAATCTAAAATCTTAGCACCATCACTTACTGCTTTAGATGGGAAGTTTTCTTCAGTGATTAAATGGGGATAATAACATGATCTATTCGTGAAGATTACTGGGGAGATTCAGTAAGAGCTTAATGTCTAGATTAATCAACTATCAATAAAATGTTTGTAATTATATATCATTATTACCTCCTCTCCAAAATACTTGAAGTAGTAATATTGAGAAATTTTTTTTCTGTCTTATAAACGTGAAGTTGGAAGGAAAAAAAAAAATGAATTTACACATGAAAAACTGCTCCCAAGAACTTAGTATAGAAATGCTTCTCAAAGTCATTACTACAGCAGGTTATAAGGGATGAGAGTTTACTATGACAAATTATCTGGAAACGTCCCCTATTTTCTATTTTTATTAGTTTGTATTAAGTTTTTATAATCACCATATTATACAAATATGGCTGTGGCATTTTCTAAGTTTTTTTTTTTTTTTTATTGTTTACCTGATTAATTAGATGATGGTAAAACTGTCTAGTGGAGGAGGCCTGCCTACCTCACAGAATGAATAAAAGAAAGGGCATTTCAGTAATTCTTCAGGTCTTTATTTTGCACATTTGCAGCCGGGCACTGGGCCAGCATTGAAATGGCTGAGTGATAAAGGGAGCCCTTTTCCATTCCCACGTAGGACTTGTATATCTGGTAGGGATAAGCAAAAGAAAATACGGTAGGGGAGTTGGGTATGCAAAATGCTAATAATACAATTACAAAACTAACTCATATAAATGCAGATGATTGTACTGGCTAATTATTTTTAAAGTTGTTACAACACATCTGGTCTCTGATAGAGAAATAGTTTACCTTATCATATGTTACATTACACAAAGAACTGTGAATGTACCCATCCATGTTATAAGTTGACGTATTATAAACCGAGTCATTTGTCCATTCAAGTATTTATAGAGCATCTATCATGTAACAGGCGTTTTTTGGTACCATGGATGCAGTGTTGAACAAAACAGATGCTGTTTCTATCTCAGAGTGCTTATAGTTTACTGGGAGGTATCGACATTAAACAAAAAATCATATAATTGATAATTACGGACATTCTGTGCTTAAGTTGGATTAAAACATAAACCACTCGTGGATTTGCCCAGGGGAGAGAGTTTAATTATAATTTCAGGTAGAGAAAGGTGTATTTGATGAAAGTATTTTCACAGTGGGTGTTATATATGATTAGAAATGTTTCTACCAGGATGCTCAGAGGGGGTGGTTAGGGTTTAGGGATATGGTAGGGTGAAACCTCCACCCGACCTTGCTTGACTGACAACAGAAGGATGTGAGAAAGCTTTCCAGTGAGGATAAAAACCCAGCCCATGCAAATATTTAAGGAATATTGGTCTAAAAGAATGGCAAGTTGTTAGCTAGCCGTAGGCACTGACATATCTCAGTTGGGCCTTGAATGTGATGTATGATCTGAAGAAATATGGCATGCTATCTGGAAGGTATAGCAAATGAACGCAGGTTAGGCTAGAGAAGCAAGATGTCGGAGCAGGTCTGAGGAATGTCTGGGGAAGACATTTTTTCTCTTAATACCAAAAGGACAAAGAAGTTAGCCCCCAAAGCGATTGTACGGAGAAGGGGGAGCTCTCTATGTAGAGGGAATAGCCAATAGACTGATCTCACCCGAGTTTTGTTACTATGTTAATTTGAGACACATTATTTATAAACAAGACCCTAAAGGGATTATTTGACCTCATAAAGGAATTTCAGTCCAGCCTGGAGAAGTTGTTGGTAGATTTCCCAGGAGATTTTCATTAGTTTTTACAGATACTTAGTAGCAGAAAAACATAAGGGTCATAACAAATCACAAGCAAAGTTGTTCTTAGTTTGTTATTGCCTGGATGAAGGCAAGTTTAGGATTGTTTCCTTCCCTCCCTCCCTCCCTTCCTTCTGAAAAAACTACATGCCAAGTAAAATTCTGAGAATTGGGGTTCCAAGATGAGCAAGTGCCTACTGTCATGGACCTTACTTTCTAGTGCAAGAAACAAACAATGTATGTCAGATGGTGTAAGAGCTATGAAGAAAAATAAACCATGATAAGGGGATGGGAAGTCAAAAGAGAGAAGTGCAGTTTTAGGTGTAACCACAGAAGGCCTATCTGAAATATAAACCATGATAATAGTACCTGGGGAAGACCTCTACAGAAAGAACTCCTAAGTGTAAAGACCTGAAGCATGAGTGAGCATGACTGGTTTGGGGAGGGAAGTACAAGGCAGCTGGTGGAACAAGAGGGAATGGGCAACAGGAGAGCAGGCCATGGGCAATTGAAATAGCAATAGGCCAGGTCATGTATGGCATCAAAGAACATGGTAAGGTCCTTGTTTATCTTCCTAAATATGATAGGAAGCCATTGGAATGGGAGCTTTGAGCAGGAAAGTGACATGACTACTTTTTACATTCTTCCTTTTATAAGAATCACTAAGACACTGCTTGAAGAGGACTGCGAATTGCACATTTGGCAAGGATGGGGTTGTTGACACAGACGATGTGTCATTGGGAGTGGTGGGGACAAAGGACTGAATGAAGTGAGTTCGCTTTCAGATGGGAGGTGAGGGGGTGAGGGAAGACTGAAATTCTAGGCAGCTCTTTGCAGTAGCTCTGCAGGAAACAGTTGTAGAGAAATGGATTGATGGCTGAAAGGCTTTTAGGCTCTCGAGGGAGGGATTTAAAAAAGGAGATATTATAACCTATTTGTGTACTATCAAGAATAATCCAATAGAGAGTCGAAAACGGGTAATTCTAGAGAGGGAAGAACTGTAGAAGCAAAATCTTAATTGCATGTTAGTTCCTTATATTATACTGTGGAAGTAACCTACATCTTGCAGTAATTAATATGAATTCTAAAGTCACCTTACTGGATTGGCTGAATATTTAGAAAAAAAAAAGATACATGATGGAAAATGAAAGGAAATGCAAAAACAGCAGATAATGATCTAGGGTTGACAATGAAAAGCAAACGAATGAAAGTTCAGTACAATTTGGGTTCATTGAAAATTATAAAAACGATACCAGA